CAAACTGTCTCTTCTAGCTAGTTAAAACAGATGTTTAGCCTAGTTTGGTTGTTCCTTGATTCAGATTCCTGCTCTGAATGGTATGCAGGAGTTTGGAAATGACAGAATCTGATGGGTATGGTTGAAAAATGTTTAGTGCATTTTCACACTTGGTGGTAATTGTCATGAAAAATTATTCTAAAAGTATTTTGAGTTCTCTCTGAAATGTGTTTCTTTAGTAGTAGATAAGTGTACCTTATCTACTCTATTTTAACACTATATTTTCTAAAACTTCATTACTTTAAGGAACCAAGTTATTTACATTGGGAGTAGTACATTGATTACCAGTTTTCCTATTGTAAATTCTAAATTGTTGATTATCTTTTTTTATTACTTTTCAAAGACCAGTGTGTCATAGAATCTGTAGAATCAGTAAGAAATGCACCAAACAACTGGTGTGGACAAATTTGAAATTATGTTAAAATTTATGACAAAGCCATGTTTCTGATTTCTCAGTGATGCTGTGCTCTCTTCTGAGAACAGTTTCTGTCTGTAATGAGTATTAGCATCAGTGTGTATAGCAGAATAAGAAACCTTGATACATCCAGTAAAACTGAAGTTAACAGAGAAGTAAGTAGATCAAATATTTAAAGAAATAAAGTTGAGGTGGCTTTGCTTTCCAGACTCCTAGAAAATCCCAGGCTGATTATTTTTTACCTCCTTGTCATAGTGCTAATTTAAGGAATATGCTAAATACATTTGATTTCTTCCCTTTAGGTTGAGAAGGTTTATAAATGAGAACATCTTCTACCTCTAGTCCCAATGGGCCTTTGTTTTCTTTTGTCCTCGTGTTTTTGCTCTCTTAGGGGATAATCCATCCCTAGCATATTGCCAGCTGCCTCTTTCTTAAATGAATTTTTTTGTGTCAACACAAGCTTTTGAGATTCAAGCATTGCATGTAAAACTCTCCCAATGGAATGCTGCTTTCTCCTGTTTTCAACTTCCTCTAACCAGTAGCTGGAAGGATGTGTCAAAAAGAACTTGGAGTCAGTCTTTGAAAGGCTTTTGGAAAGTGTTAAGAAGTTTCTGGCAGGTCTCTCCTTTGTGTTTGCTGTGCAGTCTTTCATCTTCGGGAGGTATCAAAGGCATCGACTTGGTGGCCTGTTTTTTTTCTGCTGTTTCAGACTTGTGTTGAACATCCCTTGAATTCCTTGTCTGTGGCTCTGGAGAGGAGCCTTCTGAACTGCTGCAACACCAGTGCTTTTCTTATAGTTAAATGAGCAGTGTTTTTTCTGCTGTGGCTCCTGTATTCATAGAATCATAGAATTTAGGGGTTGGAATGGGCCTTACAGATGATCTAGTCCCAACCCTCCTGCCCTGGGCAGGGACACCTTCTCACTAGATCAGGTTGCTCAAGGCTCATCCAGCCTGGCCTTGAACACCACCAGGGTTGGGGCAGCCACAGCCTCCCTGGGCAACCTGTTCCAATGTCTCACCATTGGTATTGTTGATGAATGCCAAGCTATCAGTTCTGCCTTTCATCTGCTTTGTAAGTCCTGACAGTAATAGGTGTGTTTTGGGGCAAATGAGTGTTTGACATTTCTGGTACTTTATTAACTCTTACTCACATTATTGATATGTTGATGTGAAGTCCATAGCAGTTGTTATGGTACGTGTGATGACTTGCCCTGAAGCTGATTTGAGGTCTTCAGCCTTGATTTCTCTGATTTTATTTTTTTTTCAACTGTTTACATGGGAGAAACAAGTAGGAAACATGGAAGTACCATGGTAGTGGTCCTCATATGGACATAAAGAATTTAATTCTACTATTGATGGCAATTAGTGATTCTTTATCTCTGCCAGAATATGGTAGCATAGCATCTTAGTAATGTTTGCATTATTGCTTGCTTAATTAAATTGGTTTAGGCATTGCACTGGGTATTTCCAAGCAATAGTATTTACAGTGAAGTCTTGGCATATAATTTTTTATGGTTATGAAACTGAAAAAAATGTTTGGGAATATAAAGTTATTTCTCTTAGTTGAACAACCATCTTTAGACTTGTTAGTGGAAAAATCTGTGAGTTTTGGTTTGATTCAAGAATACTGATCAGGAAACTTTGTTTACAGTTTTTAAATGAGCACTCACTAAGCTTCTATCTGTGTTGAGGAAAACTGTTGGAATTAAGTATTTCTGTGGCACGAAGTTGAGAAAGCTCAGACTCCTCACTAATGTTTGTTCAGGAAATAGTGAAGGCATATATAGCTCTGCTTCCCTGGAATTACTGTGTTGGCTAAGTCAGAACATTTCAAGGTGATGTTTTAAGTTACTAATATTTCTAAGTAGGAGGATGGTATGAAGCATATAGAGGGTGACAGTAACTTTGTTAATATTGCATGGTTTATGACTGGAAACTATTGTCTCTACAGCTCTCACTTGTCTTCTTTCAAATTAAGCATAGTTAAAATACTCTGTTCTCTCTCTGCTCATCCTATTCCTCCTCCTTACTGATGTTCTTTTGTCTTGCAAGCTGTCTGCTCATGATATTTCTTACTTGCAGTTTGCTACTTACTAGATAAAAAATAATAACATTGAAATTACAGTATATGTTTCTACAGGGTTACTCTGAAATATCTTCTCGTTTCAGTACCAGTGTTGGGGTGGGTTTTTAGTGCTTACTGTTGTTATTTCTCATGTGAATGTGCAACCTGAATGGAGGATTTGACTCTGGGAGCTTCGTCTCAAAGAATTGATTGCAAATATGGCATAGCTCAAGTATTTTTCTTTTTGTCACACTTTTCAGTCATTTTTAGTGTATTAATTTAGTTTTATATTATACGAGATTGTTTTTGAAGGATCCACAGATAGAATTTGTACAATTATATACCTGTTTAGTTCTTTTTCCTAGTGTTTCTGGTGAGCTGTTCAAAACAGCACTCTGCTGACTCCACTGCAATTCTTGTTTTTCTGAAATTTTTAGGCTGTGCTCAATAATTCAGTAATGTGCCATTATTACCTATTTAATGTATTCTTGCCATTAAACTTTCATTTCCTTTTGTGCAGTTAAATGTCATTGAGGACTGAACTATACCAGGCTTGTCTTGTATTAAGATGAGCAAGTCCAAGCTTGAAATTCTAACCAGATTCATTTCAATCAACTGAAAATATAGGTATTGGTGCTGTGCCTGCACTGCTGTGGCACTGTATAGGCAGATATTACAGTTTCAAAATCTTGATGTTTAGATATTAATGTCCACCACATTATGAGTTTCTACTTCTAAAAGAACATTATAAGCTAACAGCTTTGCTTTGATGCCACTGAGACTTTAATTGAGAAGAGAGGATTGCTTTTGGAAAGTTACATTAGATGAAGTTTTCAATCATACTTTTAAAAAACAAATTTTAGATTTCTATTTATGTACCCTTCCATTAGTTAGAGCAGGAAAATCCAGGTGGAATATTAGGCCTCTCTCCAATGGAAGGTATTTTAGCTTTGTTCTGCTTGCATGTAGCTTGGGAAATGACAGCTTTTTGGTACTCAGCACTATCCAAATGCTGCAGAATGTTCTAAATAGAATATCCACCTGGTTTTCTGTTCTTTCTTTTGCAATTTGTTGACTGTTTCTGAAGGATCACTTTTGGGTTTAGTCTAATCTCAAAAAGAAATGGTTTGTATGATTTCTCTGTACGTCTCCATCCTCTAATTAGGTTCCAGGTTGTTTGTTGTTTTGCAGAGAGATTGGGACCTCAAAAATGTTGTGTAATTAGAAATGTGATACTAGGCAGCCTCTCAAATTAGAGTCTCAAGTCTGGGGAAAGGTTGAAGCATGAGCTCTGCTCTATTAGGAATCAGAATCCGCGTGGAAGAGAGTCGTTACAAGGAAAAGCCACAGGGAGCCAGGCTGCATGATTTTTGTAGTTCAGGGAATAACTTGTGTCTTTTGTTCTCAGGGTTTGATATGTACAGCACAACACTTTCATCAGCTACAATTCAGTATCAGCAGAACTAGTTTAATCCTGTACCAGCTGTGATTTTTTTCCAGTGATTTGTGACTTTGTGGATATAAACAGCCACACAAGAAACAGCAGACTGAGACATACTTGCTTTGAGGCAAACTAATATTTCCCTTAGTAGCTCGCACCCTTCCTGTACTTGCAAAATAATTGTTCAAAAACTATTTTTTCTCATGTAGGGAGAGAAAAAAATCCACCACATTTTTCAATTTAAAAACGTTATGTCAAACTTTTAATGATGACTGCTGGGATTAAAGTTAATCTCAGTCTCATTTCTAGACTTCCATACTTCCTAAAGGGGGGGAAAAAAAAAGACTTCTGTTGTTCCATGGTGTTTTTCTCACTAATAATCTTTCAAAGCTGTTTGTCAGTTTGCTGGGGAGGGTGGGTTGATATTTCATTTTTATAAGTTCTGTGACATTACATAGCTGAGAGTGTTCCTCAAAAACTGTACCTAGCCCGGGAAGCCTGAGGCATGAGCTGTTTGGCCAGGCAGTAAAAATCCACAGAGAAGACTTTTGTAATAAGAGATGTCATCCTATAGCATTTTGTCATTGGCAGTTATGCACATTTTACATATAAAATATATGTACATAATGTGGGGAACGTGACATTACTTGAGCAGAGTGAGAGATCATAGAGTCTCACAACAAACTAATTTTTATGTCTTCTCCTATAATGTATTCTATAAAAGTAATAATTTCTCTATAAAAGTAATAATTTCTTCAAAGAAAAATGTCTAATATATTTGTAAATTTTGTAGAGTAAGTTGTACACTCTATTAGTGGCAAATCTTCACCATTGGAAAGGGAACATTTAATGGAAAGGTTGGTATGAACTTGCAGAAATGTTAAGATTAATATATAAAAGTGTCATGTTTGAAAACAGAACAGCACTTGCAAATTTTTCCGTTCTAACCTTTGTACTGAGTTAACTGTTTTTTACTTTTACTTTCATTTGCTGTTAGATTGTGTTGCATTTGAATCGTTTTCCTTAACAAAACCTTACAGCTTTGCTGAGAGTGCCCGAGAACAATACGATAAACTGTGCAACATGCACAACAATATGACTAAATTGTATGAAAATTTGGGAGAATACTTTACCTTTGATCCCAAAGCAATAAGTATAGAAGAATTCTTTGGTGACCTGAGCAGCTTCAGAAGTCTATTTCTGGTGAGTAATGTCTGCAAAATATTATATATTCTTGTTTGGGTTTTTTCTCTCAATTTTAATTCTTTCCTCACCTCTCAATATTTTTCTGTTATAATTAACTTTGTTTTGTTCTGTGCCATGAAGTTGGGTGAATGTTTTAGGTTTTCGTTACTGATAGATATAATCCCCTAGTTTGTAACTTCCCAACTCAACTGGGAATGAGGATATGGATAATTAGAAAGTATTTTTCCTCTTTGAACTGATTTGGCACAACAAACAAGTGTGATCTGAAAAGCAAGTTACAACCAAGACCTGAGTGGACACGTCTCCATGCTGATGACAGCAATGCTGAGGTTGAAACCTTCAAGATAAGCTCAGTATTGCTGACGCAACCCATGAAGTTCACTTAAGTGCTTGTATTACCATTTCCTGTCATGCAGAGTGGTCAGGGTGTGTCTTTTTTGTTTTTTCATGAAGGAATTTAAGAATTTTGTTTTCAACAGGTAAGGTTTTAATGGGTTGAATGGCATCTTTCCTAGTGGCTATGTGGGAGCCATAATTAGTTGAACAATAGGAAATGTACAGGGAAAACAGATGCCTAGAATGTCACATTGTGTCTCTGGAGAGCATGAACATCACCTGGAAATACCACTCTTTGCCATACAGCTGGGGCTCACTGATCTGTCTGTTGCCAGGAGCTGCCTGAATTTATCATGCAGCCCTAAGACTTGGCAGAGAGTATTGTGAAAGTGTTTGGTGCAGTTAAACCACTCTAAGTAGTTGAATCCTTCTGCTAGATTTGATTTTAAGCAAATAGCTCTTGTATATTTCCAGGTTTTATCTACTTTCTGCTTTTTTGAAATATAATCAACTTTTATATTTCTGTTATGTACTGAATCAGTTTTAATGGTCTATCTTTTTACAATCTGGATACGTGGAATAGCAGTGGACGTATCAAGTGTCAGGTCTCTTTCTGATAGGCAAGGGTTTTTCTAAATAGAAAAGTTACACCACAAATAGTCTTTGAATTTCCGGAAAAGTAGGGCTGATTTCTTCCAATCTGTTATAATTTTCAAATCTGGACAAAATAATTTCCTAGGATACTATTCTAATGCTACATTGGTCTAAATAGTTAATTCTATCCGTCTGATCCTATGGTCTTTAAAATGTTATCTGCCCTTTTATCTTCTAAGCTTCTTTTTAAAAAAGTTATGCAGTAATGAAATGAACTTGGACCATATGTATGGTGCATGCTAATTTAAATAGGAATGTTTCAGTATGAAATGGTGAAATCACAGGGCTGTGTAGCTTGAGGAGACACTTTCTTTTCCTCAGCATCACTTGTGCTTCAGTCAGTTCACTTGTTCAGATACATACAGGAGTAGTAGTAATTGTAATTAGGTCTTTTGAGAATTTCTTGACTTACTTTATCCACTAGAGCAGAACCTTGTAGACTTTAGTGGCATAAAGATTCTTGTTTAGGGATTTAATTTTTTCCAGACATTTGAGGAAGGCCTAGGGCAAACATTAAAAGTTCACAGTACAGCAATTCATTTTTTTCTATAAGGAAAAAAATACTAAAAAGAATTAAGATTTTCTCCAATATTTTGATGCTTGCAAGAAGTTTCCCAAAAGGAAAAAGATACTGAAACTCCTTTAATCTGTGGGATTTACTGCAAGACAGTAATAACTACTGATAAGAATTCAGGAGCAATCAGATAAGACTGAGGATATATTGCATCTCCAAATGTTCCCTAGAGCATACATATTTATTAGATTTGTCCAGCTTACACTGGTGTAATGCCTTCCTGCTTTCTCTAAGTGGGCCCGTTAACTTCTAGTATTTTGGTAAATGATTGAAGTCTAATTCCAAATATTTTTGAAATATTGATGGCTCATTCCTTCCTATTTGTGCTTCTCCTGTGTCCTTGCTAGTGCCTGTCTATTGATAGAGCTTGTTTCTTCTGCCATATTAATTTAATTCGGAAGTTCTTCAGATTTCTTCTTCAGTTTTTGATACATTTCTGGTGTGAACGTTTATGGCAACGAGGCAAATCATAGAATCATAAGGTAATGTAGGTTGCAGCAAGGCAATGTAAGGATCACTGAGTTTGCCTCTGCTCAGAGCTGTGTAGAAGTTAGTCCAAGCTGCGTGGAACTTCATCTAAGTGTGTTGTATGCCCATGGATGCAGATCCCATGACTGGGAGACTGTATTGAAGGTTTTTTAAAGCCAAAGGAAGCAACATCCCCTGCTTTCCTCTCATCCAGAGTGCCCATCCTCTCATTAGAGAAGGCAATTGGGTTGGTCAGGCACAATTTACCTTTGATGTTTCCACTCACCTCCTTGCCCTCTAAGTACCTGGAAATGCCTTCCAGCAGTAATCAGTCTGTGATCTTCCTGAAAACAGAAGCGATGACTAACCAGTGTGTAGTGCCCCAAGCTATCATCAGTTTTTTTGAAGATAAGGTTATTTGCCTTTTCCAGGCATTGGAGATGTCCCTTGAGTGCCACAACTTTTTGATGAAATCGAGGCCTTGCACTGACACCAGGCAACTGCCAGAGCTGCCTGTGAGACTGTGATGGCAAAGGTTGAGATGAAGGGGGCACAAATACTTCAGCCTGTTCTTTGGTCTGAAGTTCCATGCCCCATTCAAACAGCAGCTCCATGTCTTTTCTTCATTTTCTTTTGTCTGTCCTTGTAGCTATAAAAGCCTTTTTCATTGCTTTGCTCGTTACCGGTTTATCTCCGTCTGAGCTTTGACTTAATTGCTTCCCTCCTTGGGCAGTGTTCCTTCTTGATAGTATAACTGGTCTTCCCCTTCTCCTTGTTCCTGGCTTGTGTTGGAGCTCTGTCAGGAATTCCCCAGTCAACCAGGGTGGCCCTTGTCCCTCCTCAGCTCTCTGCATGGCAGGATGGGTGTTGTTTGTGCTTGAAGAAGGTTTTCCTTAAAGGCTAGTTGTGAACAATGAATGCTTTGCATCTACATCGTGTTTTAATTGCGACTACTGTGTATCTAGCTGGAGATAATTGGCCTTTGTCAGCACTTAGAATTCAGCATAGCCCTTCAGAAAAACTTCACTTGGCTTCTATTACCTTTGTACAACAGCTGTTTCCCCTTGCTTAACCTATGATTCTGCTAGGGAAAAGCAAGAATACTGACTAAATAGGCTGCTGGTAGTGGTAATTTCTTTCTTTCATTTACAACTAAAAGTGTGTTATAGAACCATGCAATTTTGCTAGTGTATTTAAAAAAGAGGGAATATATATGAGTGTTTTTAAGGATGACTCTAAAAATTAAATCAAAAATCTATTCTGAGCATCACATCCCCAGGTCACAGAAATTCTCTGTGTGAGTTTGTGTGTGAACAAATATATATAAAAGTAAATCTGGAGCTTCTTATGTTTCTGCCTTATAGAACTCATATCAAGCTATTTTAATGTTAACAAAACAGCTGCTCTTTTGAAAACTCATGTTAAGGACTTGACAATTATTGGAGGAAGTGCCATATTTAATGGAAAATAATGCTTATTTTATTAGTTGAAATGAAAAAGTAGATGCATGCATCATCTTTTCTAATTGCTTGCCTTTTGCAAGTTGGACACAAACAGTGTTTAGCAGATGCACCTCCGTGTGGTCTAAGCATTCAGCAGTTGTTAGGCTGAATGAAAAGATGTAGAGTTTAGGAGAAAAAGAAACATTTTCTGGAAGTCAGTGTTGTTTTTTCATTCTTCTGTTCAAAACACATCAGCAATACAGTGATATTCTTTTGGGTCCAGCAATTTCTCTTCAAGTTATTTTCCAACAAAATTATCCACATAATAATTAGTCATTCTGTTATCCCTTAACAACAGAAGGAAGGGAATTTTTGAGTAAGTAGTGTAGGCTGATAGAGTGACTGACCTTTCTCCATTTCTTTGTGAGATATATCGATTGGGGTTGGAACACTTTCTGTACAGCAGTAGACAATTACCCCAAAAATTGATTCTATGTATGGGCATTTTCTTGCTTGTTGTTTTGTCTTTAAAACTGTCCAGATACAAAGTTTTTGAATCGAGTACCAAAACACCTGTCTACTTTTGTATGAGGGAGAATAAATATTTTGGGGCTGTTTTTTGGTGTTAGGAGAAGGAAGAAAGCACTGAAGGTAATTCACAGTTGAAGTGACACCATGGAAACTGCTCATCATACAACTGCAAATAACCAACTAAACTTAGAGCACCTCTGACCAATCCTCTAACCAAACACTCCTGAGCCATTGCAGTTCATTGAGCTGCAATATAGGGAATCAGCCTAGAGATGCAGAGAGAAGAATCAGAGTTTATTTATTTATTATTCTGTATTGCTTATATTTTATCCCCAGGCTTCTCTAACCATTTTTGTGGGAAATGTAATTAGAGCCAAGGGTGCAATGAGACAAGGAAATAAAGTGTGCATCACGTTCCTCCTCTACCTCTTGCAGCCAAGCACTGTCCCTCACAGGCCCCTCATGGCTGTACTGCTTCTTGCTCTTTTTTTATTAATTTGTCTTAAGGTTAGGTAGAATATTTGAACCTTTGGAGTGAGCTTTTAAATAGATTTTTTCCTGGTGTTTGTGTCACCTCTGTGTCAGTTTACTACTTTGATTTTGTGCCCAAGTGTGTCTTGATAACCTCACTGTATTCAAGACATGTCACAGGAAGTTGATAAAGCACTTCAGGAGGACTTTGCCACTGGAGCACAAGTCAGATTCAGGCCTGGAGGAGAACTGGAAAAAAAAAAAAAGGTGTATTCTCTTTGAGCTGGCAACTGCAGAGAAATTGAATCAAAGTAGCAAAAAGGGTGATTTTTTGTTGTTTGGGATGTTTTTTACTCTTTGCAGTTAAAATAGATCAACTGGATAATAATATCTTAAATTTAGGAGTAGTTAGAAGAAGAAATGGTTTTAAGATTTTTATTGATTGGGTCCTTTCTTCTGTTGCAAGTAAACACAAATTTCAGTTGTCCTTGAGGACAATTGCAACCTGATATATTTTGGTT